TAAATTTCAGCCACACAGGCTAACACCACACAGGTAAATTTCAGCCACACAGGCTAACACCACACAGGTAAATTTCAGCCACACAGGCTAACACCACACAGGTAAAATTTCAGCCACACAGGCTAACACCACACAGGTAAAAAATTCAGCCACACAGGCTGACATCACTCAGGTAAAATTCAGCCACACAGGCACGCCAATAAATTATACTCGCAACCTATGCTACACCCGCCAAAATCTACAAAAATGCGACCTAACATAACGTTAATCTCTGCGACCTCTGGCAAGCTCCCTATGTTCGCCTACCTTTACTGTACAAATAACCGATTTTTTTTTTTTTTTTAACGTGTAATCTTACCACCGACACACTCTAAAATAACCTATTCCTTGCTTATTAGAAAAATACGAGCGGCAAGAAAAAACCAATTTACCTCCTGAGGCGGCTGTGGGGGGGCGTCCGGCTGGGCCGCGCCCGCCGGTCCCACTGGATTCGGCTGGGCTTGACCCTGTGCTGGCTGCGCCGCTGGTAGGGGTTGCTGCCCTCCGCCTTGCTGCTGTGGTACCTGCGGGGCCGGGGGCGCCCTTGGCTGCTGTTGAACCCCCTAAACATATAAATCGTCCACACAAAAAAAATTAACTTCCCTCCCCTACACGGCAATAGCAGAACTCCCCGGAAATAGCAGAATTCCCAGAACTCCCCGCGAAACGGAAACTAGCAAAAACAAAACTCGCTTGGGGCCGCCATTACCGCCACCACGTATCATGGTATTTTACGAAAAACTGAGAAAGTACTACCTGGCCCTGCTGCGCCGCAGGGGCTACCTGCTGCTGCTGGGCTGCCGGAGGCTGACCCTGTGCCGCTGCCGGTGGAGGTGCCGGTTGCTGTAACGCCGCCTGCACGGCGCCCGGCGCTGGCGGCTGCGGGACCTGAGCCATCTTCTCAAATTTTTCCCCTGCGTTCAACGACACCGACGGCCAACTGCGCATTTGTGTCGTTTCTTTCCCCCTTTTATATCTTATCCCTCATTAGCATACCCACCTGTTTCTTTGTCTTCTCTGATTGGTCCCCTTACTAAATAGTGCTAATTGGGCACCTGTCTGTGGCGCGCGGGGACAGGTGTAGCGGTGCGAATAGTGCTGTGTACCTGTTCACTGGACCGGTTCTGGACTTGTAAAAATGTTTAGGTTCAAGTCCAAAAAAAAAAAGTCAAGAACCGATTCTGGACTTATTAGAGAAAAAAAAATGTCACATACCCCTTTTCATTCCGAACCACCTAAAATCTTCCTTATATTGAAAAATCTGTGTTGCAAAATGAAGAAAACATTACCATTGGGCATCGTCAAGTACCGGCCTCCATGTTATGTGGCCACAGTTTTTCTCAGACAACATCGCAAGGTTGCCAACATAAATTTACATGCAATTTTTTTATATGCCATGGACTTACAAGTCCGGAACTGAACCTAAACCTTCGGACTTGAATCCAGACCTGAACCTGTACCCAGCACTAGTATCCAATATGCAAAGCACTGTCCAATTGGCCACTTAAGATATCGTGCCTATTGGATACTGTCTTACTGTCTGGTTGTGATTTTGCCCTGAAAGATCTGTTCCGAGATGAAGAAGGAAACTTTTAAGGTCTATCAAGGCCACACCAAGTAAATTTTATGAAGGGCATCCTCTGCAGACTATGATAGCATTTGAAAATCTGAAAAACAAGATATTTAAATATGTTTTTAAAACAAAGACCATAAATGTTGTAACAAGAATTGAAGCTACAAAACATGGTGTCACAGCCAGAAATTCACAGAGGTAATAGGTAAGGCCATACCAATTTAATTTTTTGGTTCTCGGATTCGTCTCTTCATTTTTTTCTGATTTGCAAAAAAAAAAAAAGATTCTGGTTCTGAATCAACTCAAAAACGCTCATATTTTGCCCCCAACAGTTGAGAAAAGTCCTTTTCTTCCTAGTTGTCACAGTTTTTCCATCTATCAATGCAGTAATTTAATTTAAAGTTTAAAATTCATTGTTTTAACAAGTCTTTTTTTGTTGACTTCATGGCTCCTATTGTAGCATTTGGGGCTACAATTGAATGCCTAGACCTGTTTTTTTTCGCCCTGTCACTTCATATATTTTCTGAAAAAATCCGAGAACCAACAAATTAAATTGGTGTGGCCTAAATGAAACATGTTAATTTCAGGTGGAGCGAGTGTTCTACCCTGGCCTGCCCTCCCACCCCCAACACCAGGCAGCCAAGAGGGTCATGGGTAACGGCTACAGCGGCATGATGTCATTTGAGGTGAAGGGAGGGGAGCAGGCAGGAAAAACCTTTGTCGAGGTTTGTAAATACTGCAAATTTGTTCACATTTGCGGCGACTTACTGTGCTAGCTTTTATTGTGCAGTAACTGTTGAAACACTTCTGTAGTACAGCAGCAATACTATGGAACACACATTACCAGTGTAAAACCACTGAAAACATTTCACAAAATTTACTGTATACTGCAAAATGTTTCAACTAAAGGTGTGTTATGAGAAACAGGAAGGTTCACACTTCAAAGAAGTATTAAGTTGTTGTTGTGAATTTCTGGTTTTATTTGATATTGTGAATTCCTTGCTGATTTTATGCAGATTCCACTGTCACCATTTCAACCTCCAGTTCAAAGTTTGTCAGAAGTACATGATTTCCCTCATTCACTTCCTCTACTGAATCCAAATACAATGTACTAGTAAATAGACATGCAAGCACACAAACACGCTGAAAATATAAACCTCTCTGTACATTGAGGTAAATAAATTAATCTTATTATGAAGCAAGTTCAAACTGTAATTTCCAACACAAGAAATTGGACTCCCCTAAATTTTTGACTGTACAACTCCAGTCTTTGTCAAGGAATGAACAATCCACCGCTTCTGTGACCTATGATCCACTGCTCACGGAGTCACGTGTGTTATCTGTGTGACGTCACGGAAGTGGTGGATTGCTCATTCCTTGACAAAGACTGGAGTCGAACAGTCGAAAATTTGGGTGAGTCCAATTTCTTGTGTTGGAATTACAGTTTAAACTTGCTTCATACTGATTATGAAAAACTTTAAACTTTTCTCCAACTCAAAATTTGACTCACCAGAGATTTTCGACTGAATCACTCAGTCTTCCTCAGCTATCTGACCCAAATGCTGTGGACACGTGATTTTTCCCACGTGTGACGTCAGCAAAGGGTCAAAGGTTGTCTGAAGTCGATATTGCCCCCCGTCCTGGTTGAGCGATGGTTGAAGTGCCCTGAGCATTTGAGCATGTAATTTACCCTGAGCATTTGAGCATGTAATTTACCAGCTCAGATGAACTTTCATGCTTGCTTCATAATGGTTTCTACCAACACAGATGAACTTTCAAGATTAAATCAATCTTATGTTGATTTTGTCAGAGTGTGCGTGTGATCAAACTGGCCGTGTCTCTGGGAGGGGTGGAGAGTCTGGTGGAACACCCTGCCACCATGACCCACGGGCGCTACATGATCAGTGATCTGGAGAGGGACATGGGAGACATCACACCTGGACTCATCCGATTCAGGTGAGACAAACATCATCTTATACATGTTATAGACCTCAGGAGTTAATCTCCAAGCAGATCCCTCTCGGTGGCAAAAAGACACTATCAAATTGGCCAGGCAGTATCTAATAGCCAGAGAAGATTGCCAGTGGGGTAGCGACAAAAAAAAATGGCCATAAATATATAAAAAGCTAACGATCATTCCCCCACAACCTCTGCTTGGGGAGTACTCAGGCGTAGCAATTTAGGCACACCACATATAATATTAGGCCACACCAATTTAATTCGTTGGTTCTCGGATTCGTTTTTTTCTGATTTGCAAAAAAAAAAAAGAATTCTGGTTCTGGAACAACTAAAAGATGCTCATATTTTGCTCCCAACAGTTGAGGAAAGTCCTTTTCTTCCTAGTTGTCACAGTTTTTCCATCTATCAATGCAGGGGTTTGATTAAAAGTTCAAACTTCGTTGTTTAATTATTAACCCAGCCTTTTGTGTTGACTTCATAGCTCCTATCGTAGCATTTGGGGCCTAATAGGACACCTAGACCTGGGTTCTTTTCGCCGTCGCTTCATATTTTTTTCTGAAAAAAAAAGAGAACCAACAAATTAAATTGGTGTGGCCTTAACACCAGATGGTTATACATTATATCTACAATATTGTTACAATATGAGTTTGAACTGCCAACACAAGAAATTGGACTTACCCAAATTTTCGACTGTACAACTCCAGTCTTTGTCAAGGAATGAGCAATCCACCGCTTCTGTGACGTTGGTATCATAGGTTGCAGAAAGTCTGTGGCGCGCCCCGTTTCTTAATTTGTTGAATCGTTTCAGGTACAGTTGCAGGTCAGGACCCGTACCTAAACCCGTGTACCTGTACCTAAAATTTGTTTTACACAGCTCTAGGTCCCAGCCCTTCCGTGTTGTACATGTAGGTTATGGATGTCAGGAATATGTGCTGTGTTCATGGTATGAAATATGAACCATGGCATATATGGCATAGTTTGACATCTCTGCTTTTTTGTTTCAGTGTCGGCATTGAGAATGTGCAAGACCTGGAGAATGATTTGGCCCAGGCACTGGACAAGATCTGAAGACTGCAGCATTTTTACTATTTTTAAAAGACTCTGTGCCTCAGAAGCATAAGATTTGTAGTTCATTCTCTAATGAGAAACATAGAAAATAATGACGCACAAAATATTAAGTTCCAAGCCTACCTCTGTATATCTACAATTGTGTAATCCACACTTACTAAGGCCACCTCTTCCACTAGACAGCGATCATTCTTAGTGACCAAAATTTGGGTTTTTGGTCAGCCCCTTGATTTTAAAATTGTAACAAGATGGAATATGTGAAGCATAATTTGAAAGAAAACAAAACATGAAAAAATTCATCATTTCTGAAATTCAATGAAAAATAAAATCTTTGGATGCTGAGTAATTGCAGTCTCTAGTGGAAGTGGTGGAGTCTTGTACCTTGTCAGGGTACTAGGTGCCAATGTCGGACTTATAATTGTTACCGGTAAGTGAGAAAGTGTGGTGCTGTTTTTAAAATCTGTATGTGGCAATCAAGTCCAAATAAATATTCTGTCAACTGTAATCTGGTTTCGGTCATTCGTGAAAGAAGGGACTTTTTACACAACCAAGTTTTTTATTCAGCCAACATTTCAGTGACCGTCTGTCAGCTTCCTTGGGGCAATTCTGATTGGTTCACAATGCAATGTGTAGATATGTAAATATTGTACGTGTGCATCTAAAGCAGCAACACCTGTGCTGTAGTGCAAACGTCAGCTGAATAAAATACTTGGTTGTGTAGGTTACAGTCATGTTAAGGCACAACACTACTGGTTAGTAAGTGTACACTATATTCTTCAGAAATAATGAGACATAACAAGTTCTAAGTTGGTAGAAAGTTTATTATACTAACCTAAAATGGTTACATGTACACCCTGGTCAATCTCATACCACTATCATGTTTGGACACATACAAAGTTCTTTGTACAAACTACTAACTCAGGCTACTGAAGACTGGTTTTGGCCAACCACCTATCAGAAACAATAATTATTCTGATTTGTAAAAAGGAATGTTTCTTTTTTTTCATTCAAATCTTACAAAAGCTTAATCAGTTGTTGAACAAATGTATTTTCATTCACCATTATCAACAATAATGCAGTAAATGTCTCTGCAAGACACAAACAAAAAAAAGTCATTCTAAATCTCTCATACTAGTCATAGATTTTCTGCTGCTTTTCAGTGTGCTTTTGCAATTTGCAAAAAGAAAGAAAAAGTTGGTAGTGGTGAGATTTTTCCTTACACAGGTTACCATCTGTAGGTATAAAGTTGCCTGACAAGTCGCGGCACAAGGTCCTAAGTTCTTCCTTACCCCCCTCCCACCCCTAACAGAGCTAAGTCGTCTATCTCCGCCCCCGTCCCCTGCCACGCCCTGCACCGCGACCCCGTCCTCGTCCGCGGCCACGTCCTCTGCCAGCTGGAACACGGGAACAAAATACATCATGAGCAGAGTACTACACGGGACGCTAGCATTCACTTGTGATTTGATTTGATTAATTAGACTGAAGGGGCGAGAGGTGACATGTCTTCACAGTAGCAAAATTTTAGTCCAAGGAAAAACATTTCAAGCCCTGCTAATTCATTGAAATACTTTGAATCAAGTTTGATTTGGACTTGCATACATCCTTGAAGTTGTTGCGGTAACAGAACTTCTTTCTGTTGTAGATATGGAAAAAAAACTGGTCCACAATTCTTAATGAGCACAGTCAAAGATCAAGGCTCCTAGGTTGTAAACAGTTCTTGACACAATGTCTGAACATGTTCAACAGCCTTAGAATTTCTATTACCCACAAACACGCTGCCCAGATGCAGTTCAGAACCAACATATTTAACATGCGTCAGTCAGACTTACAGGGCTCGACATTGAAGGTGGTGACTGGTGGTCCAATGGCCACAGACCACTAAAATTTAGGCTGGGACAACTAAAAAGACACTTTCAACTTTGGGACATTTTTGGGACAATAGAAAAAAAATAAACATCAGAATGTTAGCCCTTCTTTCGTTTATCAGGCAAACAGGCACATGTCCAGCTTTTGGATCCAGAAAAGTCTCTCTGAACTTTTTGTCTACACTGCAATATTACTTATTAGTGCGCGCCTGGTAGTGAACAGAAGCAAAATAAAGTTGACTTCAAGTTGAAGTCATACTGTATATACTTCCCAAAAAAAGCATGTTGGGACAGTTCATCCTCACCTCGGGACAACTGAAATTTATTTTTTGGGGACAGTGCTGGGACAATAAGAAGAAAAGTTGATTTTGAGGCCTGGACTTACCTCCAGAAGCCGCCTCCCTCTTCTTGGCCTTGGCCTTGGGTGTGTCGTCTATCAGTAACGTGTCCAGCGGCAGGCTGTCTGGGAGGATGAAGTAGCGGATGTTGTTGCCACGGATACTGAGAGAGTCCAGCTGCACGGGTTCCCGGTTCTTAATCGTCATCTTCACGGCCTTCAGGTGTGTGTTCATGCTGACGTCCACACCTGGAACAAGAAATCAGAGATCTCAGACTTCCAGGAAGTATAATTTTGTTAAGTTCAAGTTCACCCCATTTCCTATGTCTGACCCAGGGTTGGACAAGTTTTCAAAAATCCACTTGCCCGGTAGTACCTGGTCATTTCCACTTGCCCGAACCAACTTTTCGCTTGCCCAAAATATGACGCATTTCGATTCATTTTACTAGCAGAAAGGAAATTATTTTATTTATTGGATGCTTTATTCATGATCAAAATTGTTTTTAAAACTCGATCAAAATAATGCAGGGGCTATACTTTGCATCCAAAAAATTTACTTGCCGAATCGGGCAAGTGCAGGGACATATTTACTTGCCCGAACTGTACTTTTACTTGCCCTGGGCAAGTGGGCAATGGGACTTGTCCAACCCTGCTGACCTTTTGACCTGTCATATTGCCTGTCAATCTTCCTCCAACCACGTGCCAGAATAGCAAATTAGATGGTGACACCTGTTAAGTAGTACAGATTTAACTGTTTAAACTTGTTTAACCGAGCACTGGAAAATCTGATGTGGAACCCATCACTTAGGTATTTCCACACCGGCTATCCAGTGCTGAACAGCCTCCGAGCACCGGCATCCGAGTGCTGAGTGGAGATAATGACTGGAAAATGAAAGCTGGGACAAGATTCTGTTCTGGAATTCCAGTCCTGACAGTGTTTCAGCACTGGAACTTAGAAGAAATCTGTTCAGCACTGGGATAATTTCCGAGTGCCGCAAGTTCCGCCCTAGCTATAGGCGGCCAGTGAGGAACCCGTTGCTTCGGTACTTGCCAAAGGTTACATAACTTTATGATAAAATGTGTGTATAATTCTTATTACCTGTAATAGTGCCGTGGACTTGTGTGCCATTTTTCAGCTCTATTGTCACCGTCTCGTGGCTCAACTTCATAAGAAACCTGGGGAAAGAAACAGGAGACTCGAGTAACCTGAAGTTACTGTATCCAAGGAGGAACCTCCTTGCTGTATCCAAGGACATTTAAAATGTAATAGCTCTATATAAAAATGTCCTTACTGCATGTAACGTTACTAGTAAAAATATTTTGTTTATGGGGACTAGCCTGGTATTTTCATGTGTTGACATTAAATTGGTTTAAATTTCCATAATTAGGAGATATTTCGCTCGTCTTAGGACGCTAGAAAACTTGACTTATATTTAGCTAAGTATGAAATAAGCCAGTGAAACCGCCGACGAAATTGGTTTGAGCTACATACATAATTCTACGTTAGCCAGCATGTTATGGGGGAGGGGGGCACATGTCAAGTGAAAACACTTTGTCGTGGAAGGAAACACGACTGGGTGCAACATAATTTATACTACGCGACGACATAGAGCGTATATTTCTACGTACATGCACCTGCAAAAGCTGTGATATAATTTGTTGCCGAGCTAACTTATATCGAGAATTTCCTAGACAATAGCCGGTATTTTAACTTGTGCACATGACATGAAGAAACGGGTCATCTTTTGTGAGCTCGTATTCCATATCAGAACAAGTTATACACAAAATAAGCACAGAATCATTTGTCAGACATTCTTCCTTGTTGGATGTCTTGGATTGCTTACCGTACGAGCTTCATTTTGACGCAGATTCCTCTCGATTCACCGTGAATCTCTCACAAAACAAAGACGGTAAATCTCAAAATGGCGTCCAAACGTTCCCGCGACGCGAGCCTCGCTGTGGTGACATGGGGGAACAGCGACCTCTAGCGACTACAACACACATTACAGACAACCTTCCCACATTTCCCAACAGTACAATTTCTGTATACTGATACGATTGCACTGTTTTCTGTAAAATTGCACTGTATACTAATACAATTGCACTGTATTCTGCAAAATTGCACTGTATACTCCTGGAATGGGAACAGTACAGATAAAAATCTGTGTATGGAATAATAACCAAGACTTGAGAGCTTTTGGCATGGAAATTAAGCAGCAAAAAAAAAAAAGCCTATCGCTTTGAAGCTTCAGCATTATCATAGTCCTTCTTTCAACCCAGAGGGATGGGGTATAACTCACCTCCGCGCCTAATCTCTAAGCAGATTCTAGGGTGGCAAAAGACAGTGTCAAATATTGCCCAGGCAGTATCCATTTGCCATAGAGTTCCCAATTTGATACTGTTTTTGCCACCCTAGGACCTGCTTCTAGATTACTCTGTACCGCTCATCTCTGTTATGGCTGCTTTGAGGTCTTTACAGATTACAGTGACTGTTGAACAGTTCTAATCTGTTTGTAGCCACCAAGAATTTTCTGGTTCAGCACTTTCTTCTACTCTGAAATCCTTGACACTTTTTAAATGTCTTCCTACTGCACTTACCGCGTGCAAATCAATTTTAACTTTCTCTCTGCTGCCTAACCCCATGATCAAGAGCATTAGTAGCCAAATGGCTAGGCTGCATAATATCTCACATACTTTTGATAAACAAAAACTGATATTTGCCATTAATATAATAAAAGGTCAAGTATTTGTATTTGTAACAAGTATTTGTACTTGCTATATATCCTATCAAAATGTACACCATATCAGAACAGATTTTTTCATAGCTCTTTTCAGATCAGCAGAGCCCTTTGCAATCTCCTTGGTTGGCGCCGAATGACAAGACACAAGATCGACAAGTCAGGCGGTTTGATTCCTGGCCAGATTTTGTGCCCTCGGTAAAGGTATATTGCACAACTTTCCTCACTCCATATAATTTCTCCATAAGGCCACACCAATTTAATTTGTTGGTTCGCGGATTTTTTCAGAAAAATCTGAAGCGACGGCGAAAAAAAAACAGGTCTAGGCATCTTATTATAGCCCCAAGTGCTACAATAGGAGCCATGAAGTCAACACAAAAGGCTGGGTTAATATTAAACAATGAACGTTTAATCAAACCACTGCATTGATAGATGGAAAAACTGTAACAACTAGGACTTTCCTCAACCGTTGGGCCAAAATATGAGTATTTTTTACTTGATTCAGAACAAGAATTTTTTCTTTTCTTTTGCAAATCAGAAAAAAAAGAAGCAGCGAATCCGAGAACCAACAAATTAAATTGCTATGGCCTTACCTACACTATTATACAGAAACCAACACACATTACAACACACACATCAAGCAGGAACACATTGTATCCGCTTTTATTTTTCATATACGAAGAGTCTTTTTGGTGACGTCTATTTTCTCTTGGTCTGCGCTGCCTCGGCGGCCTCCTCTGCAGCCTTCTTCTGCCGGGCCCCCAGCAGTCTGCAGTTGGCGCGGGCCATACGCATAGACTGGAACGCCTGGTACTTCTTCTCCTCGTCCGTGGGAGCACGGGCCTTCTCCTTCTTGTAAAGCTGTGGCAGGAAAAATTAAATCAATTTTATTGCTCAACAACTGTAACTGGTACAATGTATGGCAAAGAGGAAATAACAAGGGTACATATAAGGACTTATACTAAAGATATAATTCTAACAATCTAGTACATAATGATACTAAAGCTAATCTATTGTGTTTTTCTAAGAAAACTATTATTACATTCTGTAATTCAGGAGATATATCAGTTATTTACAATATAGTGTCACTTTTGTAGTGATTCAGATATGAATTTTCCAACGTACACTGAAAAAAATAAAGCAGCATGATCATGAATTCATGCATGGTACTTACATTAAGGGAACGACTACAAATAAAACCTGACACGTCAGAATTCTAACTGTGATACTGTACAGAGAACTCAGGAAAACAGGCTATTTTCGTAACATTTTTGGCATCAATGCTGTTGGATAACAATGCTAAAGTGAGCAATTGTTGAAAGGATATTAAAAAAATGAATTTACCCCCCCCCCCCAAGACACATTGCATTCAGCTGTAATCATGTTTGGTATTTGTAGATTGGTATTTGTAGGGTCATCTAAACATTTTTGCACAAGCGACTCGTGGGTACTTAAGGCCACACCAATTAAATTTCTTGGTTAACGGATTTTTCTAGACAAATAATGGAGCGGACGGGCGAAAAAATAAATAAAAATAAAAACAGGCCTAGGCATCCTATTTGGCCCAAAATGGTACGATAGGAGTCATGAAGTCAACACACCAGGCTGGTTCAAAATTTAAACAATGAATTTTGAACTTTTAATGATACCACTGCATTGAAAGATGGAATGACTGTAACAAGTAGTAAGAAAAGGACTGTTTTCAACTGTTCAGGGCAAAATATGAGCATTTTGCAGTTGATTCTGATTTTTTATTTTATTTGTAAATCAGAAAAAAATGAAGCGGCGAATCCGTTAACCAAGAAATTAAATTGGTGTGGCCTAATCATATTCTTTGAAATATTTAATGCATACAGTATTTTATTTTTCCTAAAATTAGTATCTTTTGAAAGGTAACACCCTCCTCCAGGCTTTAGTTCTCCTTTAAGGAACTGTGCACAAGTTGTTAGAAACATTTCACCCACCTGTCGGACAGGCATGACTGCACCCTGCAGCTGGGTAGCCATCTTCAACTCCTCAGCCTGAGGAAAAAAAACAACAAGCATGTAAGAACTTCTTGTTAGTAAGAAGACAACGTGAATGCGAGGGCCATCAAAGACCTACAAAATCCAGGCTAATGGCCATACTTTTTTGTCGTCGACATTAAGGACTGCCAAGTTGATGAATTAAGTTTGAAAAAATTTGAAAATGGATGACGTATGTAGAAGCACCTTCCTTAGGGATAATACATACATACATTAGAGGCCTATCAGCTGGGCTCTATGCCATCACATGCAATTCTCCAGTTCTCTCTATCTAACATTACATTTCAAGTATTCAAGTTCTAATAAGGTATCAGTAAAAGTCAGACTTCTACAGTGTACTCGACCTCTTGGCTCCTAGAGAAGGACAGAATTCGAAGAAACGATTTCCTGCTTAACTCGTAAGTCTGTACCTAAACCCATGGCATATACAAAATTGCATGTTGGCAACCTTGCAATAATGAATGGGCAAAACATGGAGGCCAACACTTGACGATGCCTGATGGCAATGTTTTCTTCATTTTGCAGCAAATATTTTGCAATCTATAGAAGGTTTTAGGTGGTTTGGAAAGAAAAGGGGTATGTGAATTTTTTTTTGTAATTAAGTCTGGACTCGGTTCTTGACTATTTAGGTTTTTTTGGACTTGAACCTAAACATTCTTACAAGTCCGGATCCAAGTCCAGTGAACCTGTATGCAGCACTATCAGTAAGCCACCCAAAACAATACTTCCATACATGGAAGTAATTCAAGACTACTTACACCACTGTCACCCTTCCTGGGTGAGCTGAGTTTCTTGGGGAAGAGGATGAGCTTGGAGCGGTACTCCTTCAGCCGCTGGACGTTGGCCTGCAGAGACTCGGTTGACTTGTTCCGCCTCCTGGGGTCCACCGAGATACCGATGGTGCGGGCATACTTCTTGTTCAGACCTGCAGCCTAAGCAAACATGAAATCATCAGACAAAATCATGAGGGTGGGTGAGTGACTGAGTGACAGATTTCAAACTTACGTGAACTTCGGGAGATTGTTTGATAAACTTTAACCCACAATGCTGTCAACCTACTCTGTCCACACAAGTACATGTGTACACCTACCATAAACAATTACACCATAAACAAGAATTCCATATTCAGAAAAAATGAGTACTAGAGGCTTAAGCATCAAAAAACGTATTAAATAAATAATAAAGAAACTACTTCGCAGTGGAGGTGGCCAAGCAAGGCTTGAAATTTTTTCTGTATGATTGCAGATTGAAAATTACCTGCACCAAACAATTTTACTGCATCATTCAGAATTTAGGAAGTGAAAAATGTCCCAAAACCACTGCCATTATTTCTTTTATACTAATATGTGGTGACAGTAAATCCTGTGAAATGAAATCCACATACACCTAGTCCCTCAGTGCATTTTTAGTTGTCCCAGCCTAAATTTTAGTGAGTGCCCATTGGAGCACCTTCATTTTGAGCCCTGCTTAGCTAGTCATTTGTATGCAAACCCAGACCAGTGCAGGTTAGGTACAGAAAGACGTCAGACATACCTACACACCTCCAGTTTTACTTGCAAATCATAACATGCATATAAACTAAAGGTGGTATTACACAGAGAGGACAAGTTCACAACTGATGCGCTGGATAAAATCACCACTTAAATTTCCATCATTACAGTAGTTACCTTGATCTCCTCCAGGGTGAAGCCACGTCCGGCCCGGACCTTGGTGTGGTACTTAAACGTCGGGCAGCGTACGATCGGGCGCAGCGCTCCACCGGCGGGACGGGGGGCCACGCGGCGCGCCTTCTCCACACGGGCCTTACGCCGGCGGATCTTCCTGGCCGGCTGGTTAAACCATGTCCTCACACGGTTCTGCCAATCCTTGTGGAAATGGCCGTTGGGTATCACGTTGTTATGTTTGTGAGTCATCTAGAGGAGAACGACAAGAGAATACATCTTGAGTCTTCAGTTCCATTGTTGTTGGTTTGGTTTTCTTTTTAATGCCAACGATCATGATAATGATGGCATGCTCATTTTCACACGAGTGAAGTGAGGAAAGTCGTGTAAAGTGCCTTTCTCAAGGGCACAAGATCAGTGGCAAGGTAGGGTTCAAACCCGGGACCTCTTGGTTCCGAGCCGAACACGCTACCGCTTCGCCACACGACCCCACACATAATTTGGTCATGTAATCAGATCATTTCTGATTTTAAAACAGGCTTGTTACAAGAAAATTTATTCTTCTATTTACAAATCACATGTTCATACTAGAGTAGTCATCCATGCACCGAGTATTGGTATAACCTATTTGACTTATGGGGGATTTGAGTTAATTCTAGGCTACGGAAAATGCAACATCAGAAAGACCTACAGTTTGCTTTGGTCATGGACGGAGAAAATTTATGTATTTTCGAACATTTCCATTTTATAACATATCGGCCATGTGTCCTAAAATCAAACCTTCTAAATCCACCCCCCTCCCCACCCATCAAACTGAACTAGGTACAAAAACGACTTAGTCTGAAAACACCCTTACATTTTCGCCGAGGTTGGATACTAAACACATTACCGAACATCGTGTACTTCCAATTCAAGGACTGTTAGATATTCTCTGGAATTTGAAGGTGATTTTTCTATAATTTACTTCTCTCAGTCATAGTCATACGTGTAGAAACATCGCTTGGCTTACGGAGATATTATGACTAGTTCTGACAAATCTAACGATTTCTGGGCAAAAATATCTCTTTTGTGCTGTGAACAAACATGTAAGAATTTATTTTGAAGTGAATTTGCGATGGTTAAGATGAAGATGATACGGTAAAACGAAGGATTGACTTTACCTTCCCTCACTACCGCATCTACGGCAAGATGTCCGCAGACGAAAAGGAGGTACCGCGGAGCATGATGGGAAACGCGAGTTCGTAGCCCCTGCAGTTCTTCCCAAACATGCCAGGTGGCGTAACATGTCTGCAAACTTCCCTTTTGCTTTTGAGAGAAAATTTCACAGCACACTTCTCACTTGCCTTAGGCCATGTTGATTTGATTATATGGATGACATCTTCTGGGAACCCCAAAACTGATGCGAGCGTGCGAATAAAAAAATGTTTGGCCAAATAGTTGCTTTCATTATGAAATCTACGTGGTCATGAAGGTTTAACAAATGACACAGAGTATGCCGTAATGGTATGGCAAATAATCTAGTCTTTGAATTTATTTCTTTACATTTTTGTCTTTTTCGTTTGATTTTGGGATTCTACAACATTGGTATCGTTTTTCCATCTTTTCTTTTGCAACTTATGGAATATATTTGCTTATTTTGCGACTGTTTTGTACAATTTACAGTATGGTTGAAAACTTTTTTTTTGGAAATGGCCAAATATTTATGCGCCCGTGGATGTCATCCATATAATCAAATCAACATGGCCTTACTGTCAAAAAAAGTGATATTCATTCTAAAACAATTAAACTAGATACTGCATTTGCATTGATGACAGAATACTTCCAACACCTAATAATGCATATAATAAAACCTTTTTATATTGTGAAGAGGCCCATACCCTTATTATATGATATATACTATACATTTTCCACGCTTGAATTCTTTTGAACTGCAAGATTTTGTTTTAACTGATATGATGTTATCCCAAATTCACAAAAATAAATAAACAAGTCAAAGAAAAATGCAGTGACGTGTTCATATTCTTCATTTTATTGAACTCTTGATGGGGCAATATTCATGTCAATTACCCATACAATTGTTTTGTCACCAAAAGACAAAGAAAGCAAAAACACAACCGAAGTTTTATTTCATCAATTATACTCGACATTGAATACAATATTGCTGCATAGTTTATTAGTAGCACTCTGTCTATCTAGTTCAATATTAACTGAACATGTACAGCAAGGAAAACATTAAAAATCATTCACCAATATCACAAATTGTATTTCATTATTTGACATAATTATTTTTTTCTAACTAAACAATAACATATGACCAGGTTCCTTTTTTATACAGCAGGATGTTGCAATAAACCAGTTCATAATTAAATTGTGCATACACAGAGTGCATTGTGAGACCCATACCAAAGTTGAGCCTTTGAGACATAAGGCCATGTTGATTTGATTATATGGATGACATCCTCTGGGAACCCCAAAACTCATGCGAGCGTGCGCGCGAATTAAAAAAAAGTTTGGCCCCCCAAAAAAGTTGCTTTCGTTATGAAATCTACATGGTTTTGAAGGTTGAACAAATGACACAGAGTATGGTTTGGCGAATAATCTAGTCTTCAAATTCATTTCTTTACATTTTTGTCTTTTTCGTTTGATTTTGGCATTCTACAACATTGGTATCATTTTCAAATGTTTTTTTTTCAACCTACGGTATATATTTGCTCATTTTGCAACTGATTTGTATGATTTACAGTATGGTTGAAAACTTGCTTTTTTTCAAATGGCCGAAAATTCATGCGCACATGGATGTCATCCATATAATCAAATCAACATGGCCTAAACAAAACACATCTAGACAATCATGTATAAAACAATTGGTGTCCACTAGACTAGCGCCATTTATAAGTAAGGGGCATTCACCTTTGACTTTGCACATGCATAATGTAAACTGTGAACTGGGTTACATCTACACATGCAAATATCAATGGAAAATGCAACAGCTAACAGATAAAAATCATCTTTAGCAATCAACTGTGAGAAAAACATTCTGCAATCTCATGACAAAATGTGGCAAAGAAATTTTTCTCAGTATGTTAATAAAAGTAGAGTTCATAATAAGTACAAAATTCAGATTGATGCAGAATACTACTATGTAACTAGACTGGACTGATCATATACAGGCAAATGTTTTGATAGGAAAAAAGAGTTGGCATTTATACTATGAGAAGTCTACAGTTACTCATACAACTGATTTAAGGCTTGGCCACTTATAGATGAAGTGTACTGTTCCTCAGTTGTTCTAAGACGAAGCTTTCAAAAGCCAGAATTACAGTGACAATGTTTTGGTTAACATATGGCATTCTCTTTCATTCTGCTGATAGACCAATATTATCACATGATACTAACACAACTGTACATCAATACACATGAAATTGCATATATTTCCACTTGTCAATTGTGTACTCTAGAGTAAGCGACCTTAGAACTAAAGGCACAAGTTTTGGTGCAAATTAAGTATTATATTTGCACAGTCATGCAGGCAAATTACCGATTTTGGGTTTGATCTCAAAAGCAGCATGTTTACGTACGAGCAAGGAGGTTTAAAATTTTTTATGTCTTTAAACATCCTTGGTACAAGCAAAACCACTCTTTTGTTTTTGTTTTAATATATGATTGATTAACCTTGTGTTCAGAACTCACCAAAATATAGATTTGACCTGTGACTCAAAAATGCTAGTACATATTAAAAATCAAAGGCTTAAACACTGAAGCCTGATGCCAAGGAATCTAACTATTAGGCCACACCAATTTAATTTGTTGTTTCTCGGATTCGCCCTGACAATTTTTTTCTGATTTGCAAAAAAAAAAATTGTTCTAAATCAACTGCAAAATGTTCAATGAAAGACATATTTTGGCCCCAACGGTTGAACAAAGTCCTTTTCTTCCTAGCTGCTCAAGTTTTTAAATGTAACAATGCAATTTCGTTTCATTAAAAGTTCAAAATCTATTGTTTTAATATTAAACCAACCTGGTATGTTCACTTTATAGCTCATATTGTAACATTCCCGGCTATCATGGGGTGCCTTGGCCTGTGTTTGTTTTTTCCCTGTCGCTTCATATTTTTTCAGAAAAAATCAGCGAAACAACAAATTAAATCGGTGTTGCCTTAGCATGCTGTGAGTATAACAATCAGTTACAATGTACCATACCAGAGAACTCGAATTTACATGTCTACAAGAGTTCTTCAAAAACGACGCTTTGAACACAGGACAGTATTTCACTCCACCACAATGAACATGTACCTTAAATTTACAACATTTAGTTGTTTGCATAACAAGGACCACACTGTAGCAGCACTTCTCTTCTGTACTGTTTAGGCCACAGCAATTTAATTTGTTGCTTCTATGATTTTTTCAGAAAAAATATAAAGTGACAGGGCGAAATTAAAAACAAGGCACCCCGTGAAAGCCGGAAGTGGTACAATATGAGCTATGAAGTCAACATACCAGGCTGGTTTATGATTAAAACAATATATTTTGAACTTTACATGAAACAAAGTTGCATTGTAACATTGAAAAACTTTAACAACTAGGAAGAAGAGGACTTTCTTCAACCGTTCAAGCCAAAATATGTCTTTTATTGTGAATTTTGAAGTTGATTTAGAACCTATAATTTTTTTTTTTTTTTTTGCAAATTAGAAAGAAATGGACAAGGCGAATCCGAGAAACAACAAATTGAATTGGCATGGCCTTAATTTGACATGGTGGCACCAAGCTGAGAGAATTTAACCCCAAGCCTTAGAAAACGGATACATTACAAAGAAACTGTTTATTATTATTATAATAATAATATCTTACACATGGACAGAAAATCTATAAACTGTCTTTGAACAGTGCCACCATACACTAGCAAACTTATAAGTATGTCCAAACATTTCTCTGAAATATTTGTTTGCCCTAAAAGAAAATGTAAAATAGCTGTCTAGAAAGTCTGACTGTATCTTCTATGTAAGGAATGTTTGTGTTCGAAATTAAAGGTTTGGTTATCAAAGTATATGTTATTACGTGTTGTAGTATGAGGTACGTAGAATGTCTATAGTATGCAGCATTCATTGAAATAGTTTAGAGCATTTCTTGAAAAAGCAACAAGCAATGTACTACTAGCGTAACAAAGCAACAAGTCTAGTACATGTAAGTTCTGGAAAGAGTTCACATTAGCCTTATAATACAACATCCAAGTGACTGTAAAAACACCATGGCACCACTTTGTATCAAAAGTCTGACACAAAACTTCCTTCACAATTTGTACATTTCCAAAACAATATCATTTTTCTCTCTAAATTGTGTTTGGCAAGGATCTTTATACAGAGTCATTCTTAAGTCAGTTGATAGTAACAATAGGAAAGACTGCATCAACTTTCCTCAATAATTGTCAGTTTGTTTCAATTTACATGACATTGTACACTTATATCTCAAAAAGTGGTTCTTTGAAGCAATCGCTGTTTTAAAACTGTGCTGTCAACAGACTTCAAATATATATTTCTGTCCCACATCCTGCAAGTTTACAATTTTATGTTGTTACTTACTTTTAAAAGTTCAATAGGAATGGAAAAGATCTTGGCATCTTAGGCCAACATGAGTATACTGAAAATAACATTAAGTATGATTAGGACTAGGAAAAAAATGTTGTGTTTCCTGTTTCCCGACCGACCCTAAAAAAACCTGCCGACCCTAGCCTTTTTTTTTTGGTGGATCCCTAGTACATTGGACATATATTTTTCAACTTTTTCTAACTCCATGATCTGACACCTGAGTGATAAAACGTTGTACAACTGGTTTTCTACCATTGACACTGAAAATAGAAGTGTCCTCATGCAAGTTTTACTTTGTTGAACTACATGTATATTGTACAAGTTGGATGACTGAAGTCTAAAAAAAAGAAAAGAAAAAAAGATAATCCCTACCTACCGACCCTAATTTTTGCAAGACTGAAACAGGAAACAACATTTTTTTCTCCTAGACCTCATGACTATGTACCATATACACTTAGTGGTTATATCAATTCCACTGATTTCTGTCTATAGTATGCTGTATTACTGTATATACCATTAACTGACAGATATACCCCTTGTGCATGTAAATACCATCTGGTAAACTGACAGCAATATTCCGTTTGGCCATTCCTTTATTAGCAGCTGTGAATTTGCCAAAATATACTGTGTACATCTCATATAAAGTGTCAAAATGAATGCCCTATTTCATCTATATTAATAAAGTTAGAATGTCAAAAAACTACAGTTTCTCATAGAAATCATTTTTTGATACATCTCGTTTATATTGAATGTAACTTACGTATACATACATGTACCACCTGGGTAGTTAGGTTGCAGCCATGGCTATAGAAAATTACCAATTCTAGATTTTGTATCTATTATCAAATTGAATATAATTATCATAAAGGATATCTAGATACACTGATACTCTCAAACAACTGCAGGCCCGAGGCCGAGGATATACAGTATTTTCCCAGCCCGCAAATTTTTCTGGGCTGTGCGAAGAATCTTTATATTGATGTGATGTTGTGACTCCTCAGTCTCGTGTGGTCACCAAGTGGTCATCTTTGTTCGGAAGACAAAAACACATAATATATCATAAGAGTTATCTACATTGGCAATAAATGGAAATTTGAAGCAAGTGCAATTTGTTTAAAGCATTCCATGTGCAGCATGCATCTTCTAATGCCACATCAATTTAATGTGTTTCTTCTCGGATTCGCCCTGTCCATTTTTTTCTGATTTGCAAAAAAAAAAAATAGGTTCTGAATCAACTGCAAAATTCTCAATGAAAGACATTTTGACCCTGAACGGTTGAAGAAAGTCCTTTTCTTCCTAGTTGTTAAAGTTTTTCAATGTAACAATGCAACTTTGTTTCATTAAAAGTTCAAAATCTTTTAATTATAAACCAGCCTGGTATGTTGATTTCATGGCTCATATCATAATTATTATTAACATTTCCGGCCTTCATGGGGTGTCTTGACCTGTTTTTTTTGTTCGCCCTGTCGCTTCATATTTTTTCTGGAAAAATTCGAGAAACCACAAATCAAATTGGTGTGGCCTTAGCTTAAAGTCCTGAATTCTCCCATGTCTACTACCATATTCCTACAATGTATGTGTCCTGTGTTCATATTACAATTTTTTCTGTCCTGCCTTTTGACCACCTGTCATTCTATCCCAACCCATGTACTGTCAACCTGTACTGTTCAGACAAACAGAAAACATAAACCAATCAGCCACCCAAATCAATACTTCCGTACCCACAAGTACAAAAAAAATAATGATAATTTTCATGTGATTTCTTTTCAATACATGTACATATTAACCTGTACGAATATCTATGTTTTCATATTTTCACTGCCAAATCATTAACTGTACACACACAAATAGAAGATGTGTTACATACTTATATAAGGCCACACCAATTTAATTTCTTGTTTCTTGGATTTTTTCAGAAAAAATACTAAGCAACAGGGCAAAATAAAAAAAAAACAGGCCAAGGCACCCCATGATAGCCGGAAATGTTACAATATGTGATTGTGAAGTGAACATACCAGGCTTGTTTATAATTAAAACAATAGATTTTGAACTTTTAATGAAACAAAATTGCTTTGTTACATTAAAAAACAACTAGGAAGAAAAGCACTTTCTTTAACTGTTATGTCTTTCTATGAGCATTTTGTAGTTGATTTAGACGCAAAAAAAATTTTTTTTTTGCAAATCAGAAAAAAATGGACAGGGTGAAACAACAAATTAAATTGGTGTGGCCTAACATGTTAAGTACTGTACCTCAACTGTTACATCACAACACAGCAGCTTGTCTTCCTGGTCCCTACTACCTCCTGTACTGGACTTCTGAACCTCTGCATGGGAGGGTCCAGCGACCCCGTCGTGTTGATGTACGGGTACGCCGCGTTATCGCCCCCGTTCTGACTGGACACGCCCAGACTGGGAGTCCTGGAGCCTTGGTCACTACTGTTACTGTTCCCTTCGCTGGAGAAGGCACTGCTTAACTGCTGTCTTAGTGCCAAGGCTCTTTGTCGCTTCAACTCAGCCAGAGTCTGCGGAGCGCCGTTGCTTTTCGGCTTGCCCGACACCAGCTGGTACTTGTCCGACTTGAAGGCGTCCAACATGGTCCTGAGCGCGGAGTCTCGGTTCCCGTTCCGGCTCCTGTCCCCCTCCCGGTTCTCCTTGTTCTCGTCCGACACGACGCGGTTCTGAGTCGTCGGGGAAACCGTGTTGGCTGTTTCTGGGGGCTGCAGTACTGCATCGCTAGGTGGCGCTACTGCTACTGTAGGTACTGTGTTTGTAGGAGCTGCGGGCGTTCCAGGGGTGACTGCAGAGGTTACTGCACGGACAGGAGAGGAAGGTCTCTCACTGCTAGCATGAGAGGATTCAGTCCTGTGGGGAAAAGACTGTGTGTCTTGTGATGGCGTAGTGTTCTGGGGGTCCTCTGGTTCGCTGACCGTGACAGTCGGCACTCCGGGATCCACGTTTACTGTGACATCATCAATGTTTGTCTCCTCCTAGCAAACAGAAATTCACACATATGTAAATAATTTTATCAAGTTGGTAAACGATTGAATAGCAAAGTTCTTCATTTGATCACAACCATTTATTTTTATGAGCCGATGTTTCGATGACCGTCTGTCATCTTCATCAGGGCAATTCTGACTGGTTTGCTGTGCACTGACGCTAGACGCACTGTGAACGATGTAACACCTTTAGTGCACTATGTAACATCTAGCGTCAGTTCACAGTAAACCATTCAGAATTACCTTGATGAAGATGACAGTCATCGAAACATCGGCTTGTAAAAATAATCATTAATAATTTTTCTAGCCCAACTGTAAAATTTAACAAAGTCGAAAGTCAACAATCTCTCATTCATTCATTCATTCATTCATTCATTCATTCATTCATTCATTCATTCATTCATTCATTCATTCATTCATTCATTCATTCATTCATTCATTCATTCATTTCATCTATCCATTAGTCAATTTATATGTCCGTCAATCCATTCATCCATCCAATCATCCATCCATGTTCTGCAATATTGCAGATGAGTCAAAATTTTGTTCTGCAATTTAGAAACACTTTCTGCAAATACACAAGCTTCTATATTACAACATTAAGAGATAACAATGCAAATTGCAGATTGTTGGATTTTTCTTCTGCAATAGTGTAAATCTCTCTATAAAATGCAGAATGTAGATGGGTATTTGGAATACTGCAAGTTGAACACCCAAATCAGAACTGACCAGTCGTGTGTCTACTGCATCCTCCACCCGTGCCAGCAGAGCTTTCCCCTCTCCGCGGGACTCTCTTCTCATCATCTCTTCACGTTCCCGCACGCTGCTCTTACGCAGGGCACTGCTGCTCAGGTAAACAACATTGTGTCATTCATTTATTGGTTTATTTATTTGTATCAACAACAACGTAACTTGCAGCCAGGGCTCAAAATTAACGGTGTCCCGATGGCCGGTGACCACTAAAATTCAAGCTGGGACAACTAAAAAGACAATTTGGGACATTTTTTGGACAATAGAAAAATAATCAACATCGGAATGTCAGCCCTTCTTTCGTTTGGCTCCAAAAAAGGCGTCCCAAAATTTCCTGTTTACTCTGCAATTATAGCGTGCATGGAAGTCAGAACATATTATTAAGCAAAATAAAGCTGACTTCAAGTTCACTTCCTGAAAAACAGGTTGGGACAGTTAACTTTCAATTCGGGACAATTGAATTTTATTTTTGGGACAGTGCTGGGTCAATAGAAAAAAATTTTAATTTCGAGGCCTGAGCCTTGACATACAGGGCTGAATTCCAATGTTTGTTTACAACATACATGTATCAACAATTAATAGTAGGGTTATTAATACAAATTACCGTCATGACTGAATCTACAGATTAATCACTTTGGCTCAATGAGTTTAAATATTAACAATTATAATTATACCTTATATCACTCAAGGTTATTAACATAGAAGAACAGTCATCATAGATAAATAAATCATCATCATAAATCAATTCCTGGGTCACAATGAAGTAGCGGTCCATGAAACTTGTGGTACTATTACAATTTTGTGCTGTTTAGAAGGGAATTACCATGTAAGGGATTGAGCTTTTTTTGTATCAATCAAATAGTGGTGATCTGAGAATTTCTCGTTCTTCTGCCGCTCACCTTGCCATGGAGAGGCGGCAGCCAGTTTCTGAATTTTTCAGATGGCAACAGTTATCTGGAAAACTTATAACGTTATAACACAAGAAATTAGATTTCAGACTTTTTTTAGGTTTTCGTGAATGAACTGGAGGGGATTGTATGATGTAATTCAACTGTGTAATATACCATTTAATTGTGGCTCAGACTAATGTGAGTTTGAAACAATCAAACTCAGAAGTCAGCCACCCAAAACAATACTTCCATATCTAGAAGTAACAAGATTTCATTGGCCATTTTCCAACAAAATCTGTACATTTGGGGTCCTGGAGACCTGGTATTACACTCAAATCATCGGAAATTTGGTCTGGGTATGCTTTATATATCTACCAACAACAATTCAATATAATTTTTGGCATACTCCCCCATAAACTTGTATACTTTGGGACTTTTTAACTGTCTTTGGGTCACAATTTATAATATAGTTAGGGATGACTATCCACGAGTCATCTGTCTGGCATGCACAGCAAGAACCAATAGGCATGCAGCTTTCCTCTATTCTTCTTGCTGATTGGCTGTTGGGATTTGATTGGGTTAACTCTATGACCAGCTGCACATAGCCATACCAATATTGAAAGTAGGTACATGCATTGTAGTTGTAGGTATAGGTATGTCAAACTTTCCTGCTCAAGCATTGGAATGCAGGGCATAAACGCTTTTTTTACCTTGAAAATCAAGTTTGTATTATGCCAATAAAAAGCCTAATCGACAATAATGTAGGGGATAGCTATTTGACTGTTATATTCTTAGTCATTTGTCACTTCATACTACAGTTATATCGATGTAAAACATTGTTCTCCCTTGTATTTCTCCTTCTTTCCCTGCCATGTCGTAAAATGTTGTGAAGCCATGCTGAATTTGCTCCAAAGCAAATGTCGGCCTTTCTAGTTAGTGTCTGTTTTTAGAAAGGTGGGTGGGTGTGACTTGTGGTACCTTTTCCTCCTACTAGTGCTGGCACTGGAGTTTTTCCTGAGGGCGGCTCTCCACCGGTCGTGGGCCTTCCTGGCAGCAGCCTTGGTCTTCCACTCCTCCAGTCTCTTCCTGATGTTCTCATCCTCTGTCACTTCTGTTAAAGAATGTAAGGAACAACCGGCAGGTTCATGTATCTCACATTCACAATACCAGATTTTCTGCACAGGACAACTTCAGATTACCCAGACCTAAAACGAACAGTAAGAAACGTTCATTCCTGTATTGTGCAATATTGCTGTGGAACGATCTACCACATAACGTTAAGACACTGAGTAAAACTTGAACCAAGGAGGTCAAAGAATGGAACCAAATAATCATTTAAAGAAGGAACGTCAAGGTTGGAATCCTTTTTTATTGCAGCTTTTAATACTTTTAATTGCTTGATCAGCACAATCAGCAAGACTATTTAGCCTCTGCACATATATGATGCACTTACCCATGGGCGTCTCTCCCCAGTTTGTTTTTGCTTCCAAGTCAGCACCATTAGACAGCAGCAGATCTACAAGTTCTGGCTGTGGATACAAGGTATACAAAAGTTTATTTCATGCTACAAAGGAGCATTCCTTTGACTGTTACCACCTACAGAGTAGAAAAGAATAATGGCAATGGTTTCTAAACAGTTTTTAGACAGTATGATCCATAACTTTTGAGTGATGCATGTAAAATTTGGTAAACATAACTGTTTTTACTCAGTTTCTTCCTCTTCTTCTTCTTCTCCAGTGACCTCTGACCTGACCAATGACATGATTTGTTTACATCTGTCACCATAGTGACTGGTGTTGGGTTACATAATGTTGCAATTTCATGGTCTGCTCTGCTCCTGTCATCATATACTAGAAGTATGTGAATGTGCTTGAGTAAAAATTAACAGAGCAGATCATGTCCGAAGGTAAACATTATGCATTTGCTAAATGCAAATGTAACTTCTCTAGTTTTCAATGTTACATGCACCAGTACAAGCATGCAGAAATTAAATATCATTTTGATCCCTGAAGACCCTACCTGTGACCAGTAGGCTGCTGCGTGTATTGGCTGCCAGCCATCCTTGTCTCTGATGTCCACAGACACGTGGTGGTCCAACAGGAACTCTGCTACTCTCTCATAGCCATTGGCCGAGGCAATATGAAGCTGGAAACACAGTTTACATCAATTCAGTAATCTTAAAGGTTAGGGTTAGGACTTCACTTTCACAGTCACAAAACTGTTTTCGACATAACATTTACCCTTTTATTTCTTGTACATGTACATGGATCAGTTCAGCTTTGTGCGTGTCCCTGACAATGCGACTGTCAAGAACCTGGTCTAGATCTGTTGGCTCCACAGAATTCAAACCAGAAAATACTCAGTCTGACAAGCCTCATCTACTAAACAAGTGAAAGTTTAAGCTCACTAAAGAGTTACTCTACCTCTGGTTAACACAGGTTCATTGTAACGGAGAGATATTCGTAGCCCTTTTGACGAGCACAATGAACAGTTGACCACAGCTTCAAAATTTGTTTGTTTCGCATAACCGGTAAACCGCCTTTAGGCGTAACACACCAGTTTTGTACATGTACAAGATGCATAAGACCGGACTGTAAGGTTTGAACCACTCACACCGGGAAGGTCCCCTACTCTTTTCGATAAGTGTGGTGGGTTCTTTAACGTGCGTGGGGTGTGGCTCTCCCCAAACATTGGACCTCTATTTAACGTCCTATCCGAGAGACGTCCCTAACCGAAGCTAGGTACTCATTTCCACCAGAGTGCACAAGATCGGTGACAAGGCATGATTCGAACCTGCGACCCCTTGGGTGTTAGCCGAACACGCTGTCAACTGCGCCATACGACCCCACAGCTTAACATCCCGCCCCGTTTTCAGTATTGTGCATGTCGGGTGAGCTACAATAGCCAGGATTCAAGCTCCCAATCTCTTAGTCCAGAGGCTGGATGGCTAACACAGTACTCACCGGAGTGGCCCCTTCCCTGTCAGTAAACTCCAGGTCCATCCCCTGGTTAACCCTGTCCCTCAGATCGTCCAGCATGGTCTGCTCACGGCCCCCCCGCAGGCGCTCGATCTGGTCCTGGGTCACCCCGCGCTGCGCCATGACAGACTCGATGTAATCCAGCGCCGTCTCGTCCTCACAGATGTCGTACGGCATGTTCCCGTCCGCGTTCACCGCTAACACATCCGCACCACTGAAGGGAGGGAGGGAAGCAGCAACGCTTTTAACAGCAACTCAGAGAGACAATGTTTTTGTGTGGCAATTGCTATTTTGTATTGTTGTATAATTATACTATATTTTATAGTATTATGTAATGGACCACTGGAAGAATAGCTAAGCTAAATGCTAAAAGCTCATACAATCAAGTCAATGTGGCCTAACTACAACACTATGTGCCATTTAGCCTCTGGCCTCTGTACACTTGAAGTCACACAGGGCAAAACCAGTTGTGTGACAGGCTGAATACAAGCTCTAAACGGAAACTAATAGTGGCTTGAGATGTCTTACTGAGGGATGACTGCAGACGACTACTATAAGGCCACACCGACTTAATTTTATGGATGACATCCGTGCGCGCATTGATTTTCGCCTGTTCTAAAAAAAAAAGATTATGTCCTCCCAGGCTCTGGCCTGGCTCTAGGCCTGGGTAGTACATTTTATTTAGCGAAAATATGGAGCCGGTGGTAACTCTGGAGGATGGCACCCAGGCTGCCAAAGCTCCCATGACTCAAGAACTACGTACATACAGTGCCGATTCATAAATCTGGCTTGTTGTATACGTCGCTATGTATTGCCACAAATTCACAACACTAGCTTAATTCTTTGCATATTTATTTTTGGACAGAATTTTTTGTTATTCGCCCATGCACACCAGTTTGGGGGTCTTCAGAGGATGTCATCCATAAAATTAAGGCAGTGTGGCCTAACAATAGTGTTTGTTGTAGTTCGTGCTGCTCACTTGTTGATGAGGTAGCGGACCAGGTTGATGTGTCCACAGGTGGCGGCTGCGTGGAGGGGAGTCCACAGCTCACAGTCCACAGCATTCACGTTAGCACCGGCTTCTACCAACACCTTCATCATCTCCTCACTACCTTCTATACAGCACTGCACACAGGAAACAATATAGATTTAGAAAACATTACTGTTATCATCATTTCAAAACCATCATATAGTTTGGGGTGGGTAACTTGTGAGATGTATGTATATTTGTATACCAGTGTTCTAGCCACTAGCATAGGGCCCCCTATGCTATGATTTTGACCCCCTATGCTATAATTTTGACCCCTATGCTGGTTGAAAGACATGTTTTGGGAGGGAGAACCTTCATAAATCTTGCAAAATATGAAAATATAACTTAAGAATGAAGCTATAGCAAAGGGAAAACCTTAACTTCACAAAATCTGTTCCTCATTAAACAAGAAACAGTGTCTCAGGGGGTTATGAGTTTCAAAATATTTCGGCTCAATGCGCAATGCCGCAGAAAGTTGCTCTTCTGTACCTGACCCCTATGCTATGAAAAAATCCTGGCTAGAACACTGTATACTATTACAAGAGAAAAGGGTTAGGAGCTAATTATGGTATGACGTATTGTTCCCAACTATATGGTACCCAGTTATGGAGCTCTGCTAGCTCTGGTGTTCTGTCAAGTTGCTTACAATATATTTGTTTTAGAATAATTATGAATTTACTTCAGAAATGAAGTGCTAGCAAGATGTTTGTTTACCATGCACTATATTGACACATTTGAAACTAGGCAGAGGAGGATTTGTTACTCTTTCCTAAAACGGTTATTTTCCTCCCATGAGTCAATCATCATTCGCTTACTAAGATCAGACGCCTTCTACAGGAACTCTTTCTACCGACACAGTTACGATTTATTCAATTATATTACTTAATATGCATCTAGGTTATCTGTATTATTTGTATGTCTTTATAGTTTTGCATTATCTTTAAGATGTGTTGTATTTTATGGGTACTTTTTTTACCTGAAATAAAGAATAAAGAAAGAATTCTCCCTTTCTTACCTGGTGTAGGGGAGTGAGGCCATCACTGTTGGTCATATCTGGACTCACACCAGATTTCAGCAGCTCCGCAACTGTTTATCAACAAAGCACAGAAAGGCAGTGTTTTGAAAAACATAGAATTTGCTTAAGTAGTAACAGCAATTGAGAAACAGAAATTTGTTGAACTCTGCCCTTTGAGGGAAACCAACATCTTAAGCCTGGATGCCAGCCCTTTTTAGCTTTTAGTGTGCTTGGTAACTGTACCACAGACAGACTGTACCACATGCCCTTTTCCGTAAAGTGTAATCGGCCGTTTTAATTCTACTTAGAGCGTAGACAGACCGCTCTAATTCAATGTAGAGCGTAATTGGCGCATTATGCATAGAGCATATTCACCGTTTTAATTATACGTAATGCTTTGTAGCCACTTGAAATTTAACGCAAAGCGTTATCGACAGGATTCCTGAATTCAGCGTAATACGTAGCCAGCTCTCAAAATTTAGCATTAAGCGCTGTCGGGACACCCCATGCAGGCCCCCTAAAAAGGCTGGCATTCGAGCTATCAGTTCTTACCCTCTTGAACATCGTCTCTAGCTGCGGAGTCCAGAAGTGTGACCGTGTCCACAAACTTCAGTCTCTTCTTGGACTTCTCCTGCTGTTTTGGCACGTCTTTCCTCTTCTTGCTCTTCTTGTCCAGCTCCTTCTGCCGGTGAACCCACTGCTTCAGCTGCTGCGAGCGCCGCTTCTTGGCGTGAGCCAGACGATCGGAAGCACTCAGGCGCTCCAGGAGGGGCATTTCTGCCACTAGTTCCATGTGGTCTGCCATGGTCCTGTCTAACCTGATCAAACAACTGGAGCTACTCTAGGTCCTGACGGCTTCACCTGTTGAGGGGAACATCATAATTTTAGTTCCTGACTGTTGAGAGAAACATTATATTATAACTTGTTATTACATATTATTACTTAAAGGCAAAAAATGTAAATCATGATGACCTGATAAACAATTAAGCTAGTAGATGACGATCATCTCAGACTAACGATTGGTTCTCGGATTTTTTTCAGAAAAAATATGAAACGACAGGGCAAAAAGAAAAAAAAAGAAAAACAGGTCTAGGCATCCTATTAAATTATAGCTCCAAATACAACAGTAGGAGCCATGAAGTCAACACAAAAGGTTGGGTTATAACATTAAACAACGAATTTTGAACTTTTAATCAAACCACTGCATTGATAGAAGGAAAAACTGTGACAACTATAATGAAGAAATTTGGACTTTCCTCAACTGCTGGGGGCAAAATATGAGCATTTTTTACTTGATTCAGAACCAGAATCTTTTTTTTTTTTTTGCAAATCAGAAAAAAAAAAGAGGCGAATACGAGAAACAACAAATTAACTTGGTGTAGCCTAATGTATTTGTACATAATATGTCACACTGGTTATTCCCCAGAAACCGATAAAAAGTGTACAAAATCCACCCCCTCAGTATACACATAAGCCCGTCCCCTGAACATGAAAGGGACTTAAACTGTGACTGAGCCCTTTTTGACCTGTATAGACACAATATGTGGGTGTAGTAAGATTCCTCCCTTAAACTAAACAATGTTACACAAGGCCCAATGGTGTTTGGAGCCTCACCCTGTAATGCAGTACTAGATAAACTGGATGGAAACTGTGTCATCAAAGGATTGGGAGTCACAATTATGTAAACAAGTCTGGTGATCACTACAGGCAACGCTGTATAACTAAAAAGCACAATTACAATGTGCATGGTAGCAAGATATATAATTTATAACAATTAAGCATTGGACAGACAAGTCATAGTCATACAAATAATTTTCCTTTGATAGAAGAAGAAGAAGATAGGTACACTTTTCTTTCTGGTAGTGATAATGTATATTTATGAATTCAGAGAAGACCTTTATCATAGTAGTATAATTATTATGATAATATAACATCATCTTTAATTCAGGATGTTACAAAGAAATGTCGCAAATGCTAAATAGTGCTAATAATTATATTGTGTTACACCATCTGTACATATAAGCTCTACAATAGTTAAGACAGTCCAAATATTATCATAACAGAACCTCAATTATTCTCATATTTATTACATACTAACTGCCTAAATCAAACAAACAGTTATCACATCCAGAGAGTAAGACACACACTGGCTTTCAATTTCTATCAATACACAGTGTGGTCTTTACAAACATCACTACAACAACGTATTATTAGACTGATAAAAACCCCAGGTATTCATTAAACAGATTACGGTAATCCTGTTTATTTTTGGATCCTTCCCAGAAATTTGGGTCACGCACACAACATTGGAGAAAGAATTCTGTTACGTACTAAGCATGCATGGTTTTGTTCGCAATACTAAAGGCATGAACATATACAGGGCTCAAAATACTTGTTTCTGTATGCCTGCTGTGTACCGGGTGCTGGTAACATTGAAAACTACCTGCCTTTCAATAAATTTTATCCACACCACCCAAAATTTACTAATACTAAAATAATAGGAAGTACACATGTATGGGTCACACTAAAACTGTTCAGAAATCCTTGCCATTATTGCTTTAAATACTTCATAGGTATAACAGTCAATACATCTGATGAAAACCCACATACGTTGGAATTATTATTTAATGTTTATCATTGATTTTAATGTTTAGCTAAGTCTTCTGTCACAGTGGTTATTGCTTATTATCATATAGCCGGGTGGCGTAGACCAATCAGAGGCCTCCGTTACCCGTGCTTTATTCTCCGATAAACCATGGCTCAGCCGTGCGTTATTCTCCATAAACCATGGGTGAAACCATAATGATATAGGGGTACACAGCTCTTTCTGTTAATATTCATAGCAGTTTCCTGGTCAGACAAAATTATGTTTTTTTTTAAGCTTCATATAAACTAAAATGTGTGTGAGTATGAAATGTATATGTAAATAGATAGAATTTGAACGGGAGAGCAAAAACCATACTTATTTTGACACCCCTACAAAAAGTGGTATCGCCCACATCACCTGACTGAATCAGACCAGGGATCAGACGATTTATTTTTTTTGGTCCGCCATCTTGCCTTCTTGTGTCATGGAGAGTTTGCCTAATTTCTACATGGAAGAGATAACAGACGCGGATTTAGATGAGATATTTGGACCCATGGAGGTCGAGGAACAGACGCTGGAAGCTACACCGGAGACAGAGGTCAGCAGGGTGCGTTTCGCGTGTCTGAACGAACAACAACTTGTGCTACAAGTCGGTACCGTACGAACGTGTTGATTTTTGTCCCTCCCCCATCTTTGTTATCAATTGGAATTGGCAGACGCCAGCTGAGTTGGACGCCAGGCAGAGCGCGTCTGTGAGCGGCTGTGATTCATGCCGTCCGCCATCCCGCTCCCTTATCTCGAGTATTTCCTGTCTGTGCTTTCGTATAGTTCCCGTTACCCACCAACAAGTCAGTGTAGGGTTCCCGTTCTTCCTGTGCAGACGACAGAGCTCCTGTAGGGTGAGTTTTGTGCTACAAGTCGGTACCGTCCGAACGTGTTGATTTTTGCCTCCCCCATCTTTGTTATCAATATTTTTTTTCCGCGGGACGCGTGTAAAGTTGTAAACTATATTTATTGTAAAATGATCTCCATATTTATTTTTAAAGTACAAACCATGATTATAATATTTTGGAATGTATTGTTATGTAAATATTAAAGGTTTAATGTTTTGAACAGGAATTGTGTTGATTCATTGTGTCAGTTTGGATAGGCTATATGATAATAACGTTAATGCACCGCCTTTTCCTCGGTGTATATGGTGTCATAAATGCATGGTCAGCTGCTATAACCACCTCATAAACCGCCTCGTTCGCTTCGCTCACTCGGTGGTTTATTCGGTGGTTATAGCAGCTGACCATGCATTTATGACACCATATACACCTCGGGGCGGTGCATTAACCCTTTAATACTACGTTTAAAGGCTTACCTAGTGGAGCTTTTTAGCAATGTACTGTACACCATGATAGTAATTTCAGCTGATAATTTCAGCTACTGTATGTTTTGTACAATGTGTACTTGTATTTTGTATTGAAAATAAACCATTCATTCATTCACATATGCCTACGTGTATATTATAATCTCAGTACAAGGCCCAGTGCAGGTTAGATACAGGTACACAATAAAAATACCTGCAGAACTCCAACTTAACCTACACTTACACTAACCTGTATATATGCAGATGGCATTTTTGGGCCCACTTAGACAACATTTGGTAGGACAGGAAACGTATGGATCAAAAACAAGCTGTTTTTTCTTCTGTTTAAAAAAATCAATAATCAGCAATGTGTAGATTATACTCAGAGTATAGAACAAATTCAACATCAGATGATTAGAGAATAATTTAAGAACTACGTGTCCTAAACTGGGCTTGCCTGCATAAATTATAACTATGATTTTGGAACACATTTGATGGTCATTGTCAATGTGACACCTGCTAATTATAAATGTCATGTCATGGTTAGAAACATGTTAGAGTCGCTAGGCATGGCGGAAAAACACTTGTTTACAAAGGGCAGGACTGTGCAAGGGGAAAGGGCAGCATTCTTTTCTTCTTAGTCACATAAGATATGACTACAAACAATATGGGTTAAAGTGCTGTGACCTTAATAGGATCTTAATTACACATTGAACTTCAACCAAACAAAAACCTGCATGACTGAACTAGATACATGGTCAGTTAGAAGACCTTCACAGTTGGTACTCAATATGTCAGTTTGTAATAAAAAAATCCCCCATCTCAGTGTACAAAATACTTTTTTGAACCAGGTTGCCAGCAAAAATTAGGTTGCCCATCAGAATTTTAGGTTGCTCCACCTGTAAGTTACTACTTTCCTAAAATTAAGTAATGTTACATACATAAGCCTTTGACAATATTTCTTAGTAACAGCCTTTAGTTAACTGATACTAGTAATAGCCATTAATACCTAAAATTAAAAAGCATCTGCCGGATACATGCAGTGGTGCAAGCCAAGTGGGCATGATTTGGGGGGGGGGGCATTTTTAAAATTCAGGTACTAGCACACTGGGCTACCTAGGTTCAAAAATAGGTTGCCCAAAGTAAAATTTGGTGCCCGGGGCAACTCCAGGGCAACCAGGTATTTTGCACGCTGCATCTCCAATATTGGATTTCAAAAATAGTTCATGGCAATTATTGCCTGACAATATAGCCATTTTGAGTCTTTGACCTTGCACTGGCCTTTTGGTATCATTGTTCAAAGTTCAGATATGTTCAAGTTACATTTAACACCTATGTGGCATTCAGCACAAATGGACATGTTCTTATACCTCATTGACCTGCCAAAGTTCACCAATGAAAGACAGTGAAGAACAATTAGTACTTACAATACCGGCCCTTCTAGCTGTCAATTTAAAATGCTTATTGGTACAGAATAATAATACATTTTACGAGTGACTAAACACGGGTCTTGAAATACTGGGAGCATGGTTGCACTTAATTATAAGTGCAGGTAAAACTGGGGCTGTGCAGGTATTTTTGATGTCTACCAGCTGCACCAGTCCATGTACTGGGTTTACATATTGCGTATACAAAATGTTTCATTAGCTCATTGACCACCACTGCATGTATGAAGTACAAAAGAAAAAAGAACAATTGCTACTGAACAGCTTTTAACTTGTAATCCATACTTTCAAAATTCTGAGTGGTGCATGTAATTTATCACATGCAGGTAATCTATGTTATGGTAATTAAAGGTCACAAAACCCCAAATCTAAGTGAGAGACTCAGTATTAACTTAACAGTTATTTAACCCTGCTTTTACACTTGTGTTTGCTACTTCCAAAAGTGAAAGTACACCTAATACTCAAAGATTTACGGCAATTATGGCGTCCTTTTTGGACAGGTGCGTACTCGAGCCGACGACTTGGCCTCTGTAGTCATGTTACACTTGTCCTTACATGGGGCAAGTTGATGAATGTGAACAAACACGGGGGAAGTCACAAGACTCCCAACTTCAAGGCAAGTCAAATGGATGTCAAGGCTTCATACAGAAGTTATGTGTTTGTGGGAGGGTGTTACTAGCCTCCTATGCAGACCTTCTGAATCTGAGTATATGTATTACTAAATCTATGACTTTTTTTCTGGTTTCTGCTGTTTTCTGATCCCTCATTAGCCAAGTCTTATCAGTAGACCAACCAAGTAGGTCTGCTTCTTTTTGGCTATGATTTTTTATGGGAATCAAATACAGGTTTTAAGCTAATGCCATATGTCTGATTTTTTTTTCTATGAAATCCTCTAAAAAAACACAGGAAATTCCATTTCAGAAGGTTCCTTTTTTCAAAAATTCCCGGGGGAGAAGACCCCAGCACCCCCCCCCCCCAGGAACCTCGCTCCTTCCGCGCTGGCTGGTCCCTCAACTTCAAGCAGTGGGAAGAAACCGCCATTCAAAATCATGGCTACGGGCATGCACCTAGAAGGTCTGTGCAGGTGGCTATAGCTAGAAGGGTGTGTAATTTAATTGATTGACTACCATTTCCATGAAGGAACGTAAATTCAGCCTGGAATGGTACTTAAACTGTTGTGTTACATTTATGGTCACAACACAACAGACTAAGTTAAAGTACTTATGGCTGCATCTTTTATAACATCATGTTGACTACAAACAGTCTGTTCTTGCTGGCCTGCCAACAATCGCTGTGTCATTCACACGAACGTTCCATCATATGCTCAATGATTGCAATACGTACAATAGAGTATATAATATTATATGATATAGTCATTGCGATTCATGGTTCAGGCACTGCCAGGCTTGGCATCAGTTCAGTTCAGTTCAGTTAATCGGGCTTGGCATCTTCTACTAAGTTCTAGCATAAATTCTGACTAATGCTGACTTACAAACAAGTTTCTGCATCATACACAGACAGGGTTACATTCCAACCTACGCAGTGTTCCCTCCCTTCCTCCCAGGAGATACTGTAAAATCTTGAAATGTTCGCAGTGGATTTATTTTTAGGGTGACCCTTCCTCTACAACTTCATGACAAGTATGCATTTATGTTGTATATCCTGTCATTACTCCCTGGGGGAAGGGGACGAAAGACAAAACACTTCAACCTGAGTGGAAAGCTCCAAAAACACGAGTGAAGCAGTGACCTGGATCCTACCTCTGCTTGGAGGCTCTGTGTAACAGAAGACGACATCCTGTAATACGCAGTAATCGTGACAGTTAAAGGATCAGCAGTCTACATCCTGTCTACAAGGAACGTGAAAGTCTTTAAGACGGAAACAGCAACTCTCACGTAATCCAAGCCTGGATACCAGCCTAGACTGTTTCCAGGGCCTACACAGACCAGCTCCTCAGCTCAAAAGCTATTAGACATGCCCCCCCGAGGAAATTTTACCACAGACACAAACTTCAAATCATTCTAACACTTATCTTCTATACACACATTGAATTGTCTACTTTACCTGCTATGTAATCTAAGCAGTGATTTAAGATTATGTAAAGACACTTCACCTAAGTAACAAGTTGTAGCTGTTAATACAACAAGATAAGGAAGTGATAAGAAATGATGTACATAATATGCTTACCTATCAGAAATTGTCTTAGTTTTTCATTTCCTTATTTCCTTTTGTTCAAAATATTATCAGTGGTTTCAGGGATCCTTTCCCTTCGATGCTCACCTGAGAATTTATATAATCATTTCACAATTTTCATTTAATCTTTAAGGCTAAATGCTGGCTTATGATAATTTTTCTTCTAGCATAATCATGTCAAATTTGGAACATTTGATATCTCCAAAAGATGTCAGAAGTATATAGTTATGTTTCCGTAGCCTTTTGGTAGCTTACGTAAGTTCCCTGGGAATTGTGCTAGCAAACCAAACCCAACTAAACACCATCTTAAGCCTGATATTTATCATTTTCTAAAGGTAATTACTTCCTGAAAGACTGCCATTGTTGCTGTACAGCTTATCTCCAGTAGGGTAACCCCTTTTAGGCCGTCCTGCATGGTCATGCATGTCAAATCAGCCAGGCCGATATGCTTAAAGGTATCCAATGCAGTTTTTAGGGCTTGGAAACCAGATATCTAAAAGTCAGTATTCTAGTCACTTATTTTACGTTGATACTACATTATCCCAATGTATATTGACCCTCATGGAGCAAAAACACCCAAAATTCTGACAGAAAATAGTTACTGGAAGGGCCCTGGGCTGATTTTTAGGGTACCACCCATAAAATAAAGGACTCATCTTGGGGCTTGTTTCTGCAGTTTTAAATACCCAAAGTATGTAATACTGATTGAAATGTGCTAATTAGTGTGAAGCAGTATGTGTCAATATCATAAAGATAGCCTTATTCAGAATATTTCCAGTTTTGCTACTCTGAAATCACATTGGATGCCTTTAACTATAGGTCTATCATAGCCAATGATGAGTGGACAAGGGGTTTTCACGTTGGGGGGGGGGGGGCAACCTAAACCTAAAAAGAAAATAATGATCATTTTGCAATAGTTGAAATAGTCTATTTTGCATATCATATGAAAATTGCTACATTTTTCGTTGCATTACTTTATCCAAAAAAACTTCTTATATCATCATCATCTACTGTGTTCTGCGTCTACGTATACAGTCGTGTGGATATGTAGCGTTACGTCCTATATATTCCTCTATTAATGTCCTTGGTTGATAACTCTGGTACTTGAAGGCATGGCTATTCCTTGTTCTCTTCTGGGCTGGTATTTGGTCCTTAGTAATTGGACGTCCACCAGTTTATTAGTCATGATAATAAACATATATAACAACAGGCATATAAACTCCTTACACTGTACAAACACAGCACTATGGCAGTACCTTCTTTACTTCTCGTTGCGTCGTTGGGAAACAAACTTACGAAGTTGCAAATAATTATGACTGTCATTTTGGTCAGATCTTATCAAGGAGAGTTCAAGCCTTGAACAGTCGACTTTACCTACGAATACCTTGCCAGGACTCGGACATGTAAAGCTGTTGCTTCATCCCAAGGTCAATACCACAAGAGCTAACACACTGCGACACAAACACACCACGCATTGTGGGACAAGGTCCACACAAAAAGCACCACCATGCAAACTTGTCGGCTCGATATATCGACTATTCGAGCGCCCCCCTCCCCCATAGCCTACCTTGTCCTAGCGGTCCCTGTGTCCGATATTTCTTCCTTAGCTTCCAACAAGTGGTTGCAATTACAATCTTCACCGTCTCGTAGTCTCCTTCTTATCCTTCCTACGTTGACAAGACGCATAGTTCCTCCATGATGTACTTCCTTGAACATTCATGGAAGGAGCCTGGCTGTGGGGTTTTTGTGTCAGATTCAGACGACAGCCTACGGGACACCTGAGGTAAACCAACTGTGTCCACTTCCCTCCCACCCCTCCGGTGTCATGAATATTCATGAGCTGTCTCATGAATATTCATGAAGGCGTTACCACTTCACGTGCACAGGTGTGTGAGGAATCGGATAAACGTTACTGTAAACACCGTAAAACTCTGTACTTAAAAAAACGGACCTCTTGAATTGTGTCTTGAGACGACCTGGCGACATTCCTGACAGCAATGTTATGTCTTGTTCGTGATGTTGTGGTAGAAATTTTCCATGAAGGAAGGAAAGGTCTCCCATGCTTCTTGTGCAGAGCGTAGGGTGGTGCCCATATCCATTTCTAATTTTCCATGGGGGCAGTTCAATAGTATGGGGGTGGGGTAGCGTTACTGTATCAATCATTGATAAACTATGAATGGGAACCCTATTGAATGGGGAAAGATACGGGGATGGATTACATTCCCCCTTTTGTTACGCAAAAGCTAAGTCCATTATTTTAGCGTCGAGATCTAACGTTAACGTTTATAATAAGTAGCGGTTAGACGGTATGCTCGGAACGTTTTGCTCAAGTTGGCTCAAAATTTACTACAGATCTTACGGGGCAATGTAATTTCACGGCAATAACGATATAAGAGCGCCATCTATGAAGGAACAGTATCATTTCATCAATGAGCTTCAAAAGAAATAAGAAAAAGGAAACGTAGCTGTCCACTGTCCGAATGCAGTAAAATTTTAATTAGGCCACAACAAGTAAAAGTTTTATGGATGACATCAGCGCGCGCATTAATTTTTGCCTGATTTTGGGGGGGAAACGAGAAATTTTGTTGCCTTCTGACAGTGGTCAACATGCCGAAAATGGGTAAAGATGTCAGTTGCCATGCCGGAACGTGGATGGCAGATAACTATGAAGAGAGGAGACAAGAAAAGGCTCTGATTTAATGTTTTGTTTCTTACTTCGATGCAGTGATATGCCAGAGATGTAATGCTGACTCAGTGACTGTGTATATGTGATGTTCCCACTGAATAAAAACCATTTGTACAATGATTGAGTCAAAATTTTAACATGTAGGAACCTTGTTTTTTTTTTCGGTTTGCCTTGTTGTTGTTGTTTTTTTTTCTTCTTTTTTTGCCCGTTCGCATTAGATTTGGAGTCTGCGGAGGATGTCATCCATAAAATTTACATGCTGTGGCCTTATGTTTCATAAAATATATTTAGCCCCGGTGTCATTTTTCCGTGACTGCTTTGCTATTGCTTCAATAAAACTCTTCATAAAGACCATAATAAGTTAAATAACCCCAATCCGTGCAATGGCCAAGTGAGTATAGTACGTTTATGTAAACAGAGAGCATGCCACATGGAGTAGAAGCGCTAAATATAACATTGCCCATTACATAAACATACTGTGGGGGTATTTCTGGATGTACCAAAATACATCGGGGGTCAGTCCGTGCGTAAGTGGCCAGAGTTCAGGTATGGCTGCTATGCTTGAGCGGACATAGTGGGAGGGTCGGACCAAGTATTCTATCCGGATTTATCATGTAAGTGACCATAATTAACGGTTAGAAGTATGCTGGGAAAGGTCAATATTACTGAGGCAGAGTTCAAGTTTAAACTGTTGGTTGTTGTTTGAAGTTTGTGCTTTTGCGAAAGTTGCTTCGTTTCCGACATCGTTTGGTGTGTCAGACCTTCGCCCAGTTATCTATGGTCATATCTCCAAGCAGATGCAGCGTTATCTGTTGTATATATTGTAGTGGGTCTTTTGTGGTCTTTTCTTGGTCTATACGCCTCTCTATAGTGATGCACTGTTTTCTATTCACCTGGACCACCATGGATGATTAATGTGTTTACTACGTTGATAGATAAGTTTTCTAGATAGCTGTTAAGCGTGTATGTAAATAATAGTTAATGTATTTTATGTAAAGGACTCCAGGAAGAATAGTGATGTATTGTCACTATTATGGGAGCTTCCTAAATAGACAAACAAACTTTACACAGAAATACCGCAGAAAAGCAACAAAACATTCTACCAGACCCAGTTACATCTCTTGGAGATCATATACAGTACATGGCCGTTATGATGTTATGGCATATTGTGTCTTCTTTGCGTAAAATATTTCTATACAGAGGGTGCATGCATGTTATTGTTGTTATCTATTGAATATAAAACTATGTACGGTACGATGTGTTTTATGTATAACATCCAAGAAAGGTAAAGCAGAAGTAGTAATGATTTGTCTGTAGCAAAACAAGTGCAGTGACTTCAATTGTCATTTAATACAGGGTGTATTGTCTTTTTTTCGCACAGGCATTTTAATGCTATTCTCTGTTCATCGCCCACCCCTATCTCAACACAGATGGACTAGGTTTGTGATCAAACTATGGCGTACTACCGAGTCAACGACCACCTATACTTCAGCAACGCCGTTTCTGCGCGAGATCTCGACAAGTTGTTGTACCTCAAGATAACGTGCATCATCAACGCCACCCAGCGCCAGCAGAGCGCACAGCACCCGTCCATCGACTTCCACCGCATCTCCGTGGCCGATTCTCCTCAGGAAGACATCCTCAAGCACTTGGACAGGGCTACGAACATAATCCACGAGACGGCTAGGAGAAGCGGTCGGGCGCTGGTCCACTGTAAGTCCGGAGTGAGTCGTGCGGCGACTATATGCATCGCTTACGTCATGAAGTATCAGAATTTGTCACTGCGGGAGGCTCATGACGTCGTGCGCAAAGCACGCTGGGCGATCCGGCCAAACGACGGTTTCTGGGAGCAGCTGATGACGTATGAAAAGCGACTGAGACACACGAACAGCGTGGAGTTTATCACTATACAGTCTCTGAGACTACCCAGCGTCTACCGACAAGAGTACAGCAATATGAACCAATTGTAAAGCGTTCTTCGGAATGGAAATATGTACGATATTGCTCTTTTTTTTCATCTCAAAATCCCCACAATACAGAAATACTGCATAAGTTGGTTTTATAGACAGTAAGTTAAAATGTATGTTTGTTTTTCTGTCGTCATCCAATAGTTAGGTTGTTTGTTAATTTTCTACCGTTATTATTATTGGTGCATTGTATCTTTATGGTTTATTTTTGTTTTGTGAGTAGACAACCTCTATGGGTGATTTGTATCATCTGGTTTCTTTTCCCTCCGTTTTATTCCATGGCAAATTCAAATAAACAACGATAAAAATGTTAGACAATAGTGTTAAAACTATCCTAACCGTCTGCCTCCGGTTTAGTCCTTTCCTTGGTGCTGAAACGCCGTCACCTGAAGGCCCGATCTTAAACGTTGTACGATCATTGTACGATCATTGTACGATCGCATACAGGACATTTGGGAGATAGCCGTGCGTGTGCGTGTGTGTGTGTGTCCTGAAAAATTTGACTGCCCTGTTAGGCCACACTGACTTAACTTAATGGATAACATCCTATAATGACCCCCAAACTAGTGCACGCAAAGCAATTGAAAAAATCCGGCCAAAAATAAAAATGCTGATAAACCACAGAAATACAAAGCTCGTATTGTGAATTTGTGGTAGTACGTAGAGACATTTGCGACAAGCCGGCACATGCTGGCTTTTTGCGGAATTTATGAATCGGCACTGTGCGTATGTACTAAGTTCTTGAGTCGTGGAGCTTCAGTAGTCTTGGTGCCATCCTCCATAGTTACCACCGGCCGACTCCCTACTGTCGCTAGATACAATGGACTAAAGAGGATGGCACCCAGACCAGGGGCTCGGAGGATGTGATCTTTTTTTTTCTACTTTTTTTGTGAGAACAGGCGAAAATCAATTTGCGCGCGGATGCCATCCATAAAATTAAGTCAGTGTGGCCTTACGGAAAAGACAGCCCTATTATTCGACGTTTGGTTCTGTCACAATGTGCTTGAAAACACTGCGACATCAAAATTATTGTACAATGTGTCGGGGTTGTGTGGCGTAGCAGCAGAGTGCTCGACTCGGAACCAAGAGGTCCCGGGTTCGAGTCCTGACACGCCACCGATCTTGTGCCCTTGGGAAAGGCACTTTACACGACTTTTCTCACCTAGCTCAAGTGAGAATGAGAATTGTCCTGCCCTGTATTTCCTCCGCGTTGGTGGCGGTACAAATAAGTTGATATAACTTGAGAGTGCCGTCACCAGGTCTAGTCACGAATTGGTGGAATAAACAAAATTATTGTAAGATGAACGTGACAGTGCCACAAAGGGCAAAGAGTTAACACCAGCGATCAGCGCCAGAAGCTATGCCACAGCTAATTCTTCTGAGTTCTGACTTATCACATTCATATTCTTCACAACAACACCATCTTTTAATCGATCATCCATAAAGCTTTCACATACAGAGTGACCTGACGTGCCTTATCAATTATTTATAACACGAAATTAAACCGTTGTTCTTTAAACTGCTCGGTAACGTTACAATGAAGGCGTATATATGCTTCTGCCTATTCAGTGTCTTACAGTGTGACAGTGTGTTTTCAAGTTTTAAAACAGCAATTTGATAACCGAAGAACATGACGCCGGGACGATGGGGTGTTTTCGTTCTGGTGGTGTGCCTGGCTGTCTGCTCTTTTCTCCTGCAATTTCGCCACACGATTTACAGTTGGAACCTCGTACATGCGAGACAGGCAGAGAATACAGCCTCTACCAGGTGAATTCTTGAATTTTTTTTGTTCATAATCTCGTCGTTTCGTGGAAAGAAATGTCTGTATTTCCTCTATGCGTGTTATAGAATCCTATGAAGATCATATTCATATGTATTATGTAGAATTCAACAAACACATGTTCAAATAGTCTAATAGAAGGGCTGCAAATGGACACTAGCACATCCAGGGGTGCCATAGTATACAGTGCAATTTTACGGAATACAGTACAATCGTACTAATGCAATCGTATTAGTATACAATACAATTTTACTAGTATACAGTGCACTTTTACTAGTAAAATTGTACTGTATACTAATACGATTGTACTGTATTCCGTAAAATTGCACTGTATACTCTGGCACCCCTGACATCCCCGATATCTTATCTGACTCGGTCGTTTGGACATGTATCACTAATGTGTCACAGGAGTTGAGGTTTGACCCAGTAACGATTGTTTGTGGGTCGTATGACCCAGTGGTTCGGGTAGTAAGCTGTATTGAGAGCTGTAAGCTGACACAGTGTATCGAGAGGGCGTTGGTTCGTATCCTTGCATTCCTGGCTAAGGCCATATTGATTTGATTATATTGATGACATCCTCTGGGAACCCCAAAACTGATGTGAGCGTGCGAATAAAAAATCTTGGCAAAAAAAATTGCTTTTATTATGAAATCTACGTGGTTAAGAAGGTTGAACTAATGACAAAGAGTATGGTATGGCAAATAATCTACTCTTCAAATTCAATTCTTTACATCTTTTTTGTCTTTTTCGTTTGAGTTTGGCATTATACGACATTGGTATCGTTTTCCAATATCTTTTTTTTTTTGCATCTTACGGTATATATTTGCTTATTGTTTTGTACGATTTACAGTTTGGTTGAAAACTATTTTCTTTGAAACGGCCAAAAATTCATGCGCGCGCGCGGATGTCATCCATATTATAAAATCAACATGGCCTAAACGATGTGTCCTTTACACCTCACTCCACCCAGGTGTAAAATGATGCGTATCTGACTTCAAGGTAGGTATAAGGTGGTGGAAGGAGAACGGTGGCCTTTTGTACTTAACTTGTTCAATGAAATTAAGATTACTCCAGAATGGGCATCTTATGATAATAAGGACCATTTTGGCTTGTTGCTTGGTCTTTTTTTTTCCAACATGCAAAAATACAATACATTGTGGTGACGCACTGAAGCAAAATGCTTATATTCACGTCACCGCTAGACATGAAATAGAAATTACATCACAAAACATGGGTATCGTCCAGGTAACAAGAGAACAGAGTTTAGCTATTAACCCTTCCTAGACCGGGCTTTTTTTGACCGGACCGGG